TGATACTTTTAACTATATTCAGTGGAAATTAATGTAGTTTTTCAACTTTGAACAAATAATAGTGTGAGTATGGAGTCACCTTAACATAATACATTTCTTTGTCCAGTGATCTTACTGTGAACGTTGATATAGTACATAGCTATGATTATGCTAGCATATATAAAAAAAAATCCGGACAATATTTCAAAGTTATGTTCCAGACATATATTTACAAACGTAAATTTTCAGTATCATTTACCCACATGAAAAGTGTTCATATGTTCAAAGACAATGAAGTGTTGGTGAACTGAAATCACTGTTGCTTACTTAAATGGGAAAAATGCATACAAATAAAGTGTTAAATCAAAGCAATATGAGCTGCAACTTTGATGTCAGAAGTTTTTGTTGCAAAATTGTAATTACATGTAACTATTTCATTGACACAAGAAAGAACGATTATAATCTTCTATTGTTCATATTTGGGATGAAAGAACTATTTATAAGCTTTGATTAAAGCAAAATTACATTATTGTCGTCCTGTACAATACTGATTTCTTATATAATACTATATATTTGATTGTACAGAATCCTTTATTCTGAAACAATTTGATACTTTATTTCTATCTAATTGATCAAAAAGGTTTAAATTACATACAAATTTATCATAATAACACCTTTTAACAGGAAAATAAAATTCTCAAAAATGCAGCTCATATTGCTTTAATTCATCTAGGCGATATGAAATGTTAAGAATGCTTGAATTGATTGAGTTTTAAACTTTAGATTTCAATTTATATCAGTTTAGATCTAAAAGAAGCTAACAATAGTATAGAATTAGAACTCTTTAGTGTGCAGTGTATAGAGAGTTCTTAATATAACTAATTATGGTCCTGCTGCTCTTGAGAAGACGATTTTAATGATTTTTCCCCCTATAGAATGTTGGCCCTTATTGCAACCCAACCCTAGCCCCACTGGTCGTCCATTGAATAAATTAAAATATACACTATACAAGGAATCCTTTACTTAAGTTTTGTATTCTAAAACCCCAGTGGTTCTTGAGAGGATGCCACCAAATATTTACTATTTCACAATTTACTCCACTTGAAAGAGAGCGTGGCTCTAATCATTCGAACAAATTTGAATCCCTCTGCATCCAAGGATGTTTTGTGTTAAGTTTTGTTGAAGTGCTTCTGAAGAAGAAGTTGAAACTGTGTCACGGATAGTCAGACGGACTCCGGGCACTCTTCTATCAGAAAAAAGCTATCTTTTTTTCAGGTGAGCTAAAACCAAAAAGAAATAAACAAAACAAAACAAAAAAAAAAAAAAAAAAAAAAAAAAAAAAAGATAAATAACACATCTCTTAATCAAAATCTTTTTTTTTCGCTTTTCCGTGTACGTATACGTCTAGAGCAAAGTTTCGCACGTTTGAATCATTTATCAGGTAACTTCAAAAATAACCGCGACACATCGTTTATGAACATGCACTTAATAAATATGTTTTATTACGCACATTGCGTTAAAGATGTAATTAGTGTTTTAGTCTCATTAATATCATAATATATAATAGAAAGTGTTTAGTAGTACTGTATTAATAGGTTGTTCCTGGTAGCTCACACGTAGACGAATGTAAATTCATGCAATTAGAGCGCCTTTTATGCGTATCTGGCATGTAAAGGTTTCTGTGGACAGTTTGAAATTGTTGCAACTAGATTGTAAGAAATATACATCAAGGTAAGTGGTATTAACATTGGTAAAACATACGCTGAGGATTTTTTTTCTAGTTAATTCTCATGATTTGCCCATGCTAATTATTTTGATATTTAATATAAAAAATGTAAATATATTTATATAATTATGCAATACGTTGACCATGATTTGATTTGAACATTTGACCTCTAACCTGGGGGTCCAAGCAAAATATTTGATATTTATATGACTTATTTCCCCTTTAGATATCGAATACCTTATTCAAAAAAACGAAACTAAAATGGCATGGGTTGTGTAGTTGTTTTAAAACCAGAATAAAATATAATCTTCACAATTCACAGTTAAAAAATTTGTAAAAATGGAAAAAAGGAAAAGTTTAATATAATTTAATACGTGTTTTGAATTCTCATTTTCATGCACTCGTACTAAAAAAAATGTTTAAATGCTTGTAAACTTAGAAATATTCTATTAAAATTTTACATACGAAATATAGATTTTATTTTGCAATATCCTTTTTTTAGATGGCGAAGTTAATATCTGTAATCCTCCTCCTGGTTTTGTGTGCTGTCTGTTCTGCATACTATGGGGTCCCAGCCCCCTACTCTTTTGGTGCTGTCCCAGCGAGTTTAACCCCCTATGGACAATCCGTGGGGGGAATACCACCCTCTATTGCCCAGATACAAGTGGATACATTATACGAGGAAGAAAACCCTTTTGATGGACTCCCACCACTATTGATCTTACGTATGTAGAATACAAAATTATTTTTTACATCATTAAAAAGGACAAATATCCGTACCGTCTTAGTATGTTAACAACGCCATCCTAATACATGTACCTACATAATTATTTCTATGCACACAGCTTTTAGCTCACCTGAGCTGAAAGCTCAAGTGAACTTTTCTGATCACCTGTTGTCCGTCCGTCCGTCTGTAAACTTTTCATGAACCCCTGGGTCAATTTTGACCAAAGTTGGTACAAAGTATCTTTGGGTGAAGGGGAGTTTAAATTGATAAAAGGAACGACCAAGCCCCCTTACAAGGGGGAGATAATCAAGAAAAGAAAAAATAGGATGGGGTCATTAAAAAATCTTCTTCTCAAGAACCACTGGGCCAGAAAAGCTGAAACTTACACGGAAGCATTCTGGGGGTAGCGTAGATTCTGAATTGTTCAAATCATGACTCATGGGAGTAGGGTGGGGCCACAATGGGAAGTCAAAGTTTTACATTGAAATATTTAGGAAAAATCTTTAAAATCTTCTTCTCAAGAACCAATGGGCCAGAAAAGCTGAAACTTATAAGGAAACATCCTGGGGTAGTGTAGATTCTAAATTTTTCAAATCATGACCCCTGGGGTAGGGTGGGGTCACAATGGGGAATCAAAGTTTTACATTGAAATATATAGGAAAAATCTTTAAAAACCTTCTTCTCAAGAACCACAGGGCCAGAAAAGCTGAAACTTACATGAAAGCATCCTGAGGGTAGTGTTGATTCTAAATCGTTTACATCATGACCCACGGGGTAGGGTGGGGCCACAATTCGTATTACAAGGGGAAAAATCTGGTGAAGAACAGCAGGGCCAAAGTTACTCAGGTGAGTGTTGTGGCCCATGGGCCTCTTGTTAATATATCGCATATTTTTGTGCGTTATAAAATATTTTGATTATACTTCAAGGAATAAAGAGAAAGATCTTTTACATTTGGCTAAATTGTTTACGAGAAAAATAGCAAAATGAAATATAAAAATAGCGAAATGTAAATTGAACAAACGTTTTCATCTTTTTTGCAGTGCTTCTAAGTTTCTTGACAGGTCTTATTCAGGGGAACTAACAATTCAAAAGTAAGTCTTGGTCTTGCTCCTTATATCTTTAATTACATAAAAAGTCATAATAATGAATTAAAACTGGCTTTAATGATTCTACCCTTTGATTTTTCCTACAGAGAAAGAAGAAAATAAACACATTAGAAGATGATTTTCTCTGAAAGATCTCAATTATCCTAGTTTAAATAATAAAAAAAAAATGAAAATTATACTGAATCTTGCCATTATTTATATGCATTTCATTAATGTGTTTCTTTTCGCATTACGTGTGATTCTGAGCTATCCTTCGCTTAACTCTGCCATTTTCGTTCATTGGCCTTGGCACGTAAAAGATCGTTTCTCTGGTTTTTTGAAAAAGAGTACTAGGCTCACTTGGGGCCGCCAGAGAAACCGAAAATTTTTCAAAACTGGCCACCGCATGTTAATTTTTACCGCCGAAATATGGCTGAAATAGATTTTTTGCCATCTAACAATCAATCAATGGTTCGTTGACTCCTGATTAGTTGAAAACAAACATAATCATAACGCCTTACTATATTATGCAGGGAATTTGACAAGCCACAGTCCACGAAAATTGAAGTAGGCGGAGCTGGTAAATGCACGCATGCTACCCTCATCTCCTTATCGCCTATTTATAGCCCCTTACCATACCACAAAGGAATACTGAAACAAAAAATCCTTTGTACAGATGTTATGAATTGTTTTGTAGCAAATGGCCACCGCTTTTGTTGTTTCAAATGGGGGGGGGGGGGGGTTAGGAGCATTTATTTACAGACAAAATACAACAAAAATGGTAATTTTATGACCAATTTTAAATGATATACAGTGTATAACTATATCTTTTACTAAATAGTTGAGAAATAACATGTCAAACTGAAAGATAAAAGGACATCCACGAGTATTTCAAAATTACCTAGCGTTCAGAAAGTTTGATTTCAATTAAAAAATTTACACCCCATCCCCCTTATTAGAGTTTAATTTCACATCAAGTAATTGGTTACTAATCAATTTCTAATGAACCTTGTCTACTTTGCATAAAAAAGTCACTGCAAATATGCCAAATTTGTTGAATTCTGCAAGTGTAAAATTTAGGCGAAATCGGGAGTTAGCATTCACAGTTCTTAGAGAACTTGGGATATTACATTTCTGACCTTGACAAAATTAAAGCTCAAGGAAAACTTATCTGGAAACCATTTAGTTCTGACCTTGCATGACCTTCGAACCTCAATTTTAATAGGCGTAATTTTTAAGTCCTAGAAAGTTATGACAGATCTATTAAATTTCACTGCAAAACCTCATTTACTTTTTGAGACATGAACTGGAAACTAAAGGGCACACACAGACAGAATGACACACAGAGGGACAGCTAGGCGGACATCCCCCACTTTCAGTGAAAGCAAGGGTCGGACAAAATACCAACCTACCAACTTATTTGATTTATAACTTAAAACACTTAGTGAGGATATGCATGTATATTTTTTAAAAATCCAAATATTTGCCAATGTTAGAATCATTTATTCACATTTTGTGAAAAAGCAACAAATATACACTGTACAAAGTACATCATTCATAATATCAAGTAGTAACATACAATAGACACGTGACCATCATGTACATACAGCTGATCATGATTAATAATTTTGAAATTGTTTCACTAACTTCAAATTAAGTCATCATACCATTTACTTCCAGCAGTTCTGAGTCTAAAGATTTGAATTTTAATACTGTGCTGCTTCCAGTAATAATACAAGGTACATCAGATTATAACCAATCTAATTATAAAATTAGATACTTTGATTCCTGGCATTCGCTCACGTAACCCACCACAAAAAGCTTCTGTAAAGCAATCTCTGCGAGTGGATCACAGGATTTAATTCAACTAGAGAGATGAAAAAAATGGCAGTTTAAATTACATTTCAAATTTTGGAACTTCAGTTTACTTTTCAATTTTTGTATCAACTAAAATCCTTTTTAATAGAGAATTTTGACTTTTGGGAAGTTGGAGGGGGGATTTCAAGACAGCTTCAGAATTGAAAGAAATTTATTGAATTTGAATGAAAAAATTTCAACTTTGTCAAGAAGTGCATATAGATGTACATTGTATAAATACTGCTATATCTGGCGAATTAATGTTTATCACTCTTGGCTTAAAGATACCAAACACTAAGATTTCATCTTAGTTCTTTAAAAAATACTCCAATAATTGGAAAATTAAACAGCTAAAATTAGAAAACTTAATACTACAACATGTACATCCTATGATTCTCAAGATTCTGTAGACATTCCAATCCATAACACAGAAATAACAGGATATTTGTGTTGGTATCAGAGTGAGGTTCACAGAGAAGATGTCAATGGTGAAAATATCAAGCACTTAATAAATGGCCACAAGACAGACAGACACATGGTTGTTACTGTACATTGTTTGCATTTCATGAAACCTTACTGTCACCTAGACCACTACAATTTTTAATACTAGCTTATAATAACTCATTCATATAATTTTTTTTAAAAAATGAGGAAAAAAATCAATAAGAGACATATTTAAGCATCTTTATGCATGTAAATAATTTATGATGATTTCAACAATATAAACAAAAATGCAGTTAAATGTAGTGTAAAAAAATTCCAATCACATGTAGTTACCTCAGTCAAAAATACATGAACACACTTTTCAGCATGGCTGATCAATTTCTTGAGGATTTCTAAAATAATTGAAATGTTTAATCTGAAAGCTGAACTTAAGAACAATCTCTTTTAATGAGTTTCTCACACTGAATGAGATTAACAAGTTACAGGTTCCTCATTTCTAATTTCAGATTTGCAAAAAATGAAAACAAAAATATTACAGTAGATGAGAAAAAAAATATCCAATCTATGGACTGGATATATAGTGAAATATATCCTTCAATGAAAAAAGAAGTTGCCATGACAGAAAAAAACTGAAAATTGTGTTTAAAAAAAAGAATTAAAAGGAGTATAATGAAAAATGCCCTAATGAACTGAAACCCTTTATTAATGAAAGATGCAGAAAAAGAAAGTCATCTCACAAAAATATCAATGATTACAATAACAGTAAACAGAAATTTGGAACTGAAATGTTGTTTTATCACTTGTTGGCCCGGAATGCTGTGCTCTGAAGATATAAGCTTTAACAAGATTTCCATTCAAACACACATTCACACCTTGATTGGTTCTCACACATGACTGGTTTCTAGTCTCTGACTAGTCAACAGACTCTGTGTTGTAAGAATGCACCGAGGGGATGAACAACTAGATTTGTCTTCATTCCAGAACTGGAAGGCAAAAAATATTGAATTTAAAACTATTACTCTGCATCATACACTTAAATTAATAAGAGGCCCATGGGTCAGAGGCTCACCTGAATCATCTTAAAATCATTCTTAGAACATTGGCCACATCCTACCCTAGCGGCCATGATATGAACAAACTTTAATCTTCACTGTCTGAGGATGCTTGCATATTAATATGGCTACTCATGACCTTGTTGTTCTTTACGAGAAGATTTTTTTTCTTTGATTCTTTATTGTGGCCCCACCCAAACCCCTACATGTACTACTGTACATAAGAGGGAAGATTTTTAAATGTTTTCCCCCAGTGTATTCCCATTTTAAACTTTGGCCATGACTAAACAAACTTAAACCTGCACAACTTGAGAATTCTTCTGTTGTAATATGACTAGTTAAGATCTGCATGTTCTTTACAAGAAGTTTTTTAAAGATATTTTCCCATATAATGATATATACATGTATTCCCATGTAAAAACAACGGACAAATTTCAATCAGAAAAGCTCTCTTTGAGCCTTCGGCTCAGGTGAACTAAAAACACCATGAATGAAACTTTTTACCTATCTTCCTTCTGCGCTCAGCTTCAATTTTTAATTTTTATTATTTGCAAAAGTACATGTATATATTCTATCTTAATGCCTGCAGCTTCCTCTTATTTCTCTGCATTAAAGTCAATAATCAATCATGTAAAACTAAACTTTTGCAAGATTTTTTCTATCTCTCTGTATTAAGATCAATAATAAATCATATAAAAATCAAATTCATATTTCTTTTGGTTGAAGAAAAAAAATATGCCTCTGAATATGTTTGCTCAGGAATACTTCTGCAAAACCAAGAGAACACTAAATAAAATGCTTACCACGAAAAATGGCAATTATTCCTGCAGATCATATATGTGGTTTCTCAGAATTTTCATCATTCCAAATGTTTTCACTCTCTTTTTCTCTGCAATTTTAAAAATAATAAATACATGAACATTTAAGAAATTTACAACATTCATAGATAATTGTACAAGAAACAACTCAAGAAAGCTGATAAATTGTAAATACTCACTGAACACATTGAATAACTGATCATCACACAGTAGAAACTGCTTATTCTTGGGGTCCTAAAAAGTAAAACATTTCAAATCATTTCTAATGTATAATCAAGATTCTCTGTATCTTTTGCATGTGCGTGAGATTATTTCATCCTTATAGAATCTATTGCATGTGCATGAAAAGGTTACTTTGAGATCACATATTTTCGAGGGGTCAAATTTTCCAGGTTTGAGGAAATGATATTAATTTGTGGGGATTCGATTTTGTGGATGGAGGAGTGTTGAGTATGTTGTGTATATGAAATTTTACATTTCATGGTGGACATGAATTTGTGGGGCTCTTCATACCTCAAAATAACGAAAATCAACCCCCCACAAAAATTGATGATTTCACAGTATTTCATCAATACTGTATAAAATCACATGATTTAAAACACCAAAGGAAAAGATTCCCGTCCAATACATGAATTAGTATTAAACATTAATATTTTATCAATGTAACAAATATCTACCAACTAAAAGCATTTATCCTAATAAGATCAGTTTGTATTAGTACCTGTAGATTCCGTTCTTTAATAATGGCCCACATTTTTTTCACAACCTCACTTCTTGCCATCTGAAAAAAAAAATACTGTAAAATAAAAAAATAAGCTGGTATGTTGTTAATAGAATATACATGTACTATCAAATTACACTTTCAAAAAAATAAGCATACATACATGAAAAATCAAGAAGCTCATCTCAAGGAATGTTTCTAAAATGCAATTACTGGTATACATGGGAAATGGACTTTTAAAAAATCAACCTTATTTATGGTTCTGGTCAGCCAAAAACAAAATTCTGGTCTTTGTAGAAAAATGAGAGAAATAATGGACTTTGGGACAGTATATATAGGTACATACTCTAGAACATAGTTAATCTTACCTTATCAGCACCCACAACTTCTGCCAGGGCAGGAGATAAGGAACATGGCTTGCTGTACACAGACTTCTCTGAAAGATGTCAGTAAATAATTATCTCTTTCTTACTCATTTTGAACTTCTGCTCTTCCTGATACTGATGTGTTAATTTTAATGAATTAAATCCTCTCCTATCCACAAAATTCAGAGCCACACAAAGGGAGAGGAACCTGACAGCATGATACAGTGACACTTTGGCCATCCTTACCCACAATGATCAGTTCAAACATTAAGACACTGGCTCAATTCTGAAACTGGATTATCAGTCAATGACAGCCCCTTCCCCCTACCCATCAGTCATCACCACCAAAACAAGATGTGTTTGTGAAACACTGATGCCCCCGTATGGCAACTTATAGCAAAGGTTAAACTTTCTCAAATGCAACTCAAATATGTTGGTACCCGAAGTAAGGTCTTGTCTCAAGGAATATACCTGTGAAATATGAAAGCCCTAGCAGCAACCACTGAACAGATATGGAAAAGGTTAAAGTTTTTCAAAAGTAAGTCAAACATCAAGGTCAAATGGTCAAAATTAGTGGTGCCTAAGGAAAGGCCTTCTCACAAGAAATACACAGGTGAAATATGAAAGCTGAAGAACCAATCGTTCAAAAGTTATGACCAAGGTTAAAGTTTATCAAAAGTAGGTCAGACTCCAAGGTCAAGGTCAATGGATTACAATTGTTGGTATTCAAAGGAAGGTCTTGCCACAAGGAAAAAACATGTTAAATATGAAAGCCCTAGCAACATCTTTACAAAAGTTGTGTCCAAGGTTAAAGATTTCCAAAAGTAGGTCAAAGTTCAAGGTCAAAGGGTCAAAGTTGTTGGTATCCAAAGGAAGGTCTTGTCACAAGGATTATATATGTGAAGAATGAAAAACCTAGCACCAACGGTTCCAAAGTTATGGCCAAGGTTAAAATTTTCCAAAAGTAGGTCAAACTCCAAGGTCAAGGTCAAAGGGTCAAAGTTGTTGGTATCCAAAGGAAGGTCTTGTCACAAGAATTACATATGTGAAGTATGAAAGCCCTAGCACCAGCCATTCAAAAGTTATGGCCAATGTTAAAGTTTTTCAAAAGTAGGTCAAACTCCAAGGTCAAGGTCAAAGGGTCAAAGTTGTTGGTATCCAAAGGAAGGTCTTGTCACAAGGATTACACATGTGAAATATGAAAGCCCTAGCACCAACTATTCAAAAGTTATGTCTAAGGTTAAAGTCTCATAAAATTTAGCAAAACTGGGTCAAACTCCAAGGTCCAGGTCAAAAGGTCAAATATGGTGGTACCCAAATAAAGGTCTTGTCACAAGGAATACACATGTGAAATATGAAAGCCATAGCTCCAACCAATCAAAAGTTATGGGCAATGTTAAAGTTTTTGCGGACAAACAGACAAACAGATAAACAGTCAAACAGACAGACGGACGGACAGGGCAAAAACTATATACCCCCGAATCTTCGATACGGGGGCATAAAAATCAACATCATTTGAACTACATGTAGTACCTTGCACATTGATATTTCAATAAGTGTTTTCAGTGAGTTATCCCCCTTTTACAAAAGGCTGCCCTGCAATCAACTTGGTCATTTTGCTTTTGCCTGTGTTCGTAAAGTACTGGTCAGTATTATGTCAAAATATGACTATCACTTCTAAGTATAATGCCATTCCATTTAGTAACTTATAAATTTTAATTATACCATGGATATGTCGAGTGAGTAAACATGGTCAAGTCCGAACCACTATTTCTTCATGTATTTTAACCTCAGTATCTAGAACCCTCAGATATCTTTCTTTAAAAAAAAAGTTTTTTCACAGTTTTATGAGTTTGAGATAAATAGGTTGTATTTAATACAAAACATAAACAATTTTTAACAACTAAAATAAAAATAATTGAATCCTTCACAGATATACATGTATATCAATTTGGTTCAGAAGTTATCAGGAAGGTTTTAATTAGTGAAGGAGAGAATGGCAGACTTTCAGACAGCACAAAACAATTTATTCCCCTATCCTTTGGTCTTGGGACATAAAAATACAAATAAATAAAATATTCAATTTAAAAAGTAGTACATTCCCTCTATGTGTATGTTCACTGGATATCAAATATATTCTAGGCCGAATTTTCTTTGGAAAAAAATTAGTGGGGCCAGATAGCAAATATTTAAAACTCTGCATTGATTACATTTATAAGTCATGGCCAAAGTGTCTTTGATCTAAGGTGTACATGGACTGAACTGTCACCATTCCATGTATCTGGTAACTGTTTATGATTAATGTTAAAATATAACCACAGGCAAAATCTTATCAAGAAAACACTGTACATGTATTTCCTGTACTTCCTTTATACATGGGAAATTATATTTCCTTAGTCACATCTACCTGTACACACTGTACAAATTTCTCACAATCTTAAAATATATCTATGCTTGCAAAATGACAGTGGATTTGTATTCCTCATAAGAGGCACTTTCTGATATACATATACGTATCACAGGCCTTTAGATCACTTTAATCCAACTTACAAAATTTTGGGTGCAAAAAAATAAAGGTACATGTATGGAACTCATATCATAGAGTACCCACTTTCGCCAATAAAATACTTTTAAATTAAATGATCTAAAATTTTACTTTCTATTTGTATCTTTTCACATGTAAACAACCTACATTACTACCAAAGTTCATTACAAAATTCCGTATACTTCCTGAGATATGCTGAAATCAATTCCAAAATTGACATTTTTTTTTACTCGACATTAGCTTGGGCCTCTGAATATTTGCACTAATTGTAAAATGGGAATGACGGGAATTATACGGAATTTCAGAATGAACTTTGGTAGTAATGTAGGTTGTTTATATGTGAATACGAGGGGTTATCAAAAAGTTCGTGGACTAGCGCCATAAGATTAAAACCGCTTTAGGTACATCAATAAATTTTAAAACATTTAGTTAGCATCATCTTTTCTATCTATAGAACAAACCATAAATCATAAGGTTTTTTTTAAAATAAATTTTTAATGTTTTTGTTAGCAATGGTATGTCCAGGCGGCGCAACCTCAAATATGACGTTTTTTCTACCTGAGTGTAACTGAGAAAAACTCTTTTGATATGAGCATTTGTCATCAAAAAATCCCGTTATTTTAGGCATGTTGTACGACACAATTGTTCTGTAAAATTTGCAATTTTTACCCCATTCTGTACGTTCTATGAAATTTTATCGTAAATTGTATATGGAGTGTCCAAAAAATTAAGGCTTGAAAATCACGTCAAAAAAGGTGAGGGGTTTCTTTTTCCAGCATTCTATAAAGTTTCGAACCCGGAAAAACTGGTATAGACCTAAGGAATGTTAAAATGGGCAAAAGAGAAATAAAATGAATCCAGAGTATTTGTTTTTAAATGCCAAAAAGATTCAGAGAGATGAAAAATGCACAGTTAATGTCAATTTGTATTCAGGGTGTCAAAAGTCAGTCACGTCGAAAAGTGAAGTTGATCATGTGTGGTAGAATTTGAACTCCAACAAGCTCAGTATTCTGGCATAATCAAGTGAGGATCTTTCCCTTTGTATAGAACCATTTAGAATATTATATGCATAGAAAGCAGCTGTTCATGACATTATAAAGCCATATAAACAAGATGGGCTTTAGTCCTTACTTAACTCCAGGTAATCTCATCAAGATAAGTGTATGAGGTAGAGAGAGCGGAAATGAGAAACAATGACGTTGTCGGACGTCATGAAACTAAACGGCGACAGCGCCGGGTGATCATATAATGTCTTTTTTATTTTAGAATAATTTGGAAAATTATCAACGTATCGAGCTAAAATTTTCAACATTTCATAAACTTTTGTTGTTTTATGTTTCTCATAAATTTTTTAAGCACAGACTACATAGTATTAATTTTATCGCATCAGTCCACGAACTTTTTGATAACCCCTCGTAGATATGAATAGAAAGAAAATTTTTAGATCATTTGATTTTAAAGTATTTTAATTGCAAAGTAGGTACCCTACATAAGGAGCTCCATACCTTTATTTTTTTTTAACACCAAAAATTTTTCATAAGTCGGATTTAAGCGATCCAAAGGCCTGTGATACATATGTATATATGTAGTGTACTTTGCAAAATCAATTTTTTTTAATTAAACCAGCAGCAGGAAATTCATATACATGTATAATGGCACACATATTGTTCTTTTTAAATATGAAGTACATTTAGTTTTCAACTTCAAATTTAAAAGTCATGGGTGAAACAAATTATTTTGATATACCAAAATACCTGATAATTTTTTATACATGTACTACCAAGCATACAAATATAAGTGTTATAAGCTTAGAATTACCTATAATTTAGATTCAGTAAAACTTAAAAAAGTAAACATTTCAAACTCATATAGTTCATTTTCTAACCACATAACATTACACAATTTCTATGGTTTCATTAATATTCATGGACATCAATTTTTGTGGATTTAAGGTGTAATATCCCTCTGATAAGAGAGATACAGACCCTAAAACGTGCTACTACACCTCAGAAACGAACCGTACCGTTCCGTGCAAGAAGCGTACCGTACCGTGCAAGAAGCGTACCGTACCGTGCACAAAGCGAACTGTACCGTACACAAAACGAACCGTACCGTGCAAGAAGCGTACCGTACCGTGCACAAAGCGAACCGTACCGTACACAAAACGAACCGTACCGTGCAAGAAGCGTACCGTACCGTACACAAAGCGAACCGTACCGTTCATGAATAATTTTTGAAATAATTATGCAAGCCACGCCCCGAAAGCATTCCGAATCTTGCAATGACCGAATACAGTAAGTAATTTTCTTTTATTTCTTTCGACGCAGCGCCAGTTCAAGAAGGACAGAAAATTACCCTAGAGATTCAAAATGTAATTATTAAGTACCATGCATCTGGACTAACATCTGTTAATATAAGGAAAGTAGTTACGACTTCAAAACAACTCGACAGAGTGTGAGGCGATTCCTTATTCGCTATGCATGATCGGGATATGCTTGACTAACATTTTTTTCCGTATTAAATGCAGCATCGTAATATTTTCGTGTACAATTTATAATAAATAAAAGTGAATTAAATACTTTATCGTTTATTTCTATAGCTATTATCTACCCTATTCTTGTCTCTATGAACGTTCTCGGAAACCAAGACACACCGAAAAATGTATTAGGATTCTGTGCTATTTTCCGAAACCAAGCCCTTAAAATCATTTTTTATTCATGTAAGTAATAGTTTTAGGGAGAAATGATTACAGATTTAGCAACAACAACAACAACAAAATTAAAAAAAAAATTACGAACTAAATTATCAATTTGAAAGCGGACATGTTAAAATGTAAACGCCTCTCAATCACCAGAAAAAATAAATAAAAGCGATGTATATATAAATAAATGTGTCGGTTTACACTCTTCTGACCAACTCAAGATGTTATCGCCAATATAACATACTGTCAAAAAGTTCGATCGCCACATTTTCGCATGGAATTTTCAGTTTAATACACGTAATCAAAAAAAAAAAAAAAAAAAAAAAAAAAAATCTGGATATATGTCAGAATTAATTTTTATTTAAAGCATTTTCCCATTTCATTTGCTTTATTCACTGAAATCTGCAGGTAAAATATGTAACCTGGAATTTACACAAAAAGCCCAGTTTAATTAAAAAAAAAATACTTAGTCCGTGCATGCGTGTTCATCCAAGATTTTTTTTTAAAGAAACACTGTACATTTCTTGCCATGGTCTCGTTATCTAGACTGACGTCTTTCTATACTTTCGTTATTTACTCTAAAACATTTGAAAATTTCGATCAAGTATTGTCTTTACACGTGCACAGGTACAGGTAAAAACTTGAGCTGTGTACATTGAACCGTATTTAATCCCGTTAGTCCAGATATGCTTACATTCACACGTGTATCAACAGTTAGCTGTCTTTAACAGTAAGTCTACAACAACGAATCAGTTTTAATCAGCAGATTTAAACAGAATTCCATGTGCAGTCAGCTTTTCTTCTAGATCTTCAATAAAAAAAAAAGCGCGTTTGACAAGGAAACAAAGAGGGGGGGGGGGGGGGGGGGTAGCACCCGGCATGAGCAAATTAATCATTTTCAAAGTTTTTGAGGACATGCATGGCTGCATATTATTTATTTTCAAGGTAATTGAAAACGGACTATTTATTTCTAACATTTTGACATTAGTTATTTCGGAAATCTGTCTTGCCGTCAATATATATTATATACATTTATACATTGTAGATGGAATTGTAGCTGTCTTAACCGTTTTCTTGATTGTAACTTCCCTTCAAAAAACGTTTTTACACATTGTTCGAAAATTTATGTTAAAAGGAAAACAATTACGCGCACAAAAAATAAGTAATATTTTGCACTTATTGTGTGCACTTCTACCGATTACTTTTCAATGTATTTTTCCTAGTGATCCAAACACCTAAGAAATCAATGTAAAAAAAAATATAATTCCTCGCAAATAAAACTAATAACTTGTTTGATCATTCGGTTAAGAGAAATTTTTTTGTTTGTTTGTTTGTGTTTTTTTTTTAAGGAAGCAGCAGTGACAAGAACGTAAAAAGAATGGTAGACGAAATGAAAGCATGAGCGATTTATAAAATCAATCTCATTTATTTAAAAGTGTGATAAGTGAATATTTAAAATAATTGTATTCAATTAGGAAAACTTAAAGGAAAAAAAAAACATATGTACGCTTATTCGTTAAAAAAAATACAGAAAGGTCTTTTATGGCAACCCAACCAAAATATTTTTTTCATCCTTCTTATACAGTGTTTGTTGATATGTTCGATTTCTTTCCAAGTTTAATTGAACCATAAGGCGATGTTGTACAAAATAAGATAAAGAATAGACAACTATAATTATTTATTTTAAAAACGAACCGTTCCGTGCAAGAAGCGTACCGTACCGTGCACAAAGCGAACCGTACCGTACACAAAACGAACCGTACCGTGCAAGAAGCGTACCGTACCGTGCACTAAGCGAACCGTACCGTTCACAAAGCGTACCGTTCCGTGCAAGAAGCGTACCGTACCGTACACAAAACGAAACGAACCGAACCGTGCAAGTGGTGTAGTAGCACGTTTTAGGGTCTGTAACTTTCCAAGGAAATTATTCCAAGAAATCCAATGAATTGTCTTACCAGAGTTTAATAATGAGGACCATTATATAGTCAACTCACTCAATTCCAAACTAAGTTACAAATACTGATTTTTATTTTCTATTGCTTATATTTTCATTAAGTACTTATAAAAGTTTACCTAAAACATTTATACCCAGTTCCTTTAAGCTGTTAAAATTGATATATCTCTCTCTCTCTCTTAACATATAATTCTTTTAACTGTTACAGAAATTGAAGATGTAGACTAACCAGACTTTTTACAATCAATTAATTTTTTTTTTTTTACTAAAAAATATTTTGAAGAACGATAACTCCTGTAGATCGAAAGAAAACTCTTGCAGATGGATGCATTTTCATTTTACAAACACAGAAAACAAGGTGATATTCTGATTTAAAAAGCAACGCTTCGTTATGTTTTCTAATGTGAATTAGATAGGACGTATGATAGTAAATATTATTTTCCTATATACCTCACATTTTTAATTTTAGAGTGAGATAAAAAATTATTGATTTTTCTATTCACCATATCAAATTTTCTTCATATCATGATTAGACATAATATTCATTTCTGAAAAAGTAAGCAATGCTTCATACTTCAAACTATTTTCCATATGAATCTTAAGCTATTGTTGTTGATGAAAATCAATGTTGGGAATTTAAAAAAAAAAAAAAAATTGGTGAAATTTGGAGCAGAGGGATATTTCACCTTCATAAAATTCACAGTTTCAAGGAAAGTGAATTGTGGTCATACATGTACCTATAAATATTTTATGTTATGTTTCCTTTTATCCATGGATCCTTCAAGCCTTTACAATAATAACAATATAAAAAATACTTGAATCAATTTCGTAAAATTTATACTTTTTAGTTCTTTGATTTGTCTGTATTGAAAAAAAGTCTGAACATTCATGCATTTACAATAAAGGGTGAAAAATTACAAATACTGACACCAATGTAAGACCCTGGATCCGATTAAAATATAGGATATTGAGATAAATATCAAAATCAACAAAGTGAATATACCTAAATTTGTTAAGAGTAATGAAAAAAAAATGCATCAAGAAAATGTGCAGAGAATTCAGATTTAAATGTATTCTTTAGGCTGAAAGATGAAATAGATGAAAAAGGTGGTGACTGAATGTTATTAAATAATTTACAAGAATAATTTAGGTTTCTAGGGACCAAGTATATTTACAATAGTTGGAAAATGTTTCTTAACTGTAAGTCATAATGGAGGCACCAAACTTTGATGAACATTTCATTGACTAAACCCTAAATTCCACGAAAAATAAGACTTCAACACAAAATGACAAAAACAGAGTACATGCTCAAAAAATCATCTTAAACTTACTCTGTTTTTTCTCTTCAGGGTCCTTTTCTTTCTTTTTCCTTGGTTTCTTCTTCATTTTGAAAAATAAAATATACAAAGACTTGTTTACCCTTTCTTTTACAAACATAACTGCAATAATTTAGATTTAACTTTCAGTCTTCAATAGAACTATACAATAATCCACAGTAGTATAGGACTGTTTGTTTATTTTTTTTTTCCAATGTAAGTAAAACATTACTGGTTTTTTAGCAACAGCTCGAGATGGTCGTCTAGATGTGTTTTCTTCCTCCTGTAATCGGCGGGCAATGTCCTCATCATCTTCACCTCCATCCTGTAAATGCAAGAAAAATATACTGTATACAGGGTTATTTTTGCCATGTTTAATTTTTGTTCTTTCACACATGAAAACAATTTTGTCCCGTTCTGAATTCACCCAAACACAGCTGTGTTCAAGAGATACTGCTGTCTTCTTTGAATTCACTCTATTTTAAAGTTTTCTCTGCATTGAGATTGAAAGAGGCAAAAAAAAAAAAGGAGTGAAAATTTTCGCTTATACAGTACTTGAACATGTAACAACAGGCTGTATGGGACCTCATACACTTGAACATTAAAACATTCCAAAACTTTCCAAAAGTTCTTGTATAAGTTCTTGTGTAAAAGCAAGTGTTAATTTTTCCATGAACAAACAGTAAACATATTCATGATATTGTTACAGTAAAACTGTTCCAGCAGCTTAGACTATAGTGTTAACCCTTAAGCCCTATACTTAAGATCATTAAACTGTCCTACAAGAAGCCCACAGATTTCTGAACCGCAGCAAAATTCTACTATTCCATTCACACTATGAAACCACAGCTACATCTGTTATGACAATTTTCAAGATTTTTATTTTGGTCAAAGTGTATAACATAAATATTGATGTCTGGACACTGATTACAATCAGATATTACAGTTAGTGTATGTGAAACCTGTTTATAACAAATTTATGATCACAATATAAAACTCAACATTTAATCTAATTAGTAAAAAATGAAAATTATTAAGTGGACACAACAAATTATGGCTATTAAGAAGCATTCCACTAAGACAGCTTTACTACTATCCCTACCCCAGAACCAGCTGATGATACAGAATCTCTCTTCTTCTTCTCTGGTTTAGCTTTCTTTGCTGGAGGTTCATCATCTGACTGTGATTGAAACATCAATAAAACTTCTTAGTCACAGTACCACATTTAGTAACACTTAGTAAAAGCATTAAAACATACTACTGATAAGTAATGATTTACTTTCCAAAGTTTGAATGACTCTATTGATAGATTTAATGGGGTGATGGAAAATTCATCCATTCAAACATTAAAGAAAAATGGGAAACAAAACTTAGAGAATATATATACAGTCAAACCTAGTTATCTTGAACTCGATGGGACCGAGAAAAAAATTCAAGATATCTGAGGGTTCGAGATATCAAGGGTAAAATACTTAAGTAATCCATGATTATGACTTCCGAAAGACTTCGACGTATCCATGGTATTCGAGATATCCATGTTCAAGATACCGAAGTTCAACTGTACATAGACATTATTATCAAATTTCTGAACTTGGCATGCTTAAAGAAATTAGGTTTGAACTTAATACTTTCAAATTGTTACAGGTTTGATACCAGTTTTGTTAATATCTAAATTCCTTCATCAAACTTCTATCGCCATTGTGGCCAACATTTATTATACACATAGTAAAATATATTTAACAAACAACTAAACAGTGTCAACATCATCTGACACTATAAATGTGTTGATGTACACATTATACCAGATTGTCATCTGAGGATTCGTTAGCTCCGTTACTCTTCTTTTCGGCACCATTATCATCACTCTCTTCTGCATCAGATCCTGCCTCTGTCATCTCCTTCACTATCGCCATTGTGGCTGCATCCACTTCTTTCTTCCTGTTTAAGGAAAAGTACTTATACATTTATGTGAATTTTTTTAAAAAACATCAAAGGTCTCATTTTTCATTTAGCATCAGGTGTGAAATATCTTGAGACATCAATGACCATGGTGACATGAATTGCAGGGATATAACCTATATAGTGAGTACCAACTTTGTTTTATTTTTTAATATCTTTTCAAGTCAGAAAAAGTAAATTTCCAAGCAGCTCATTACAATGCATAAGTGTCTGTTTACCTTTCATTAAGTGTTTTAAACATATAAAATTTAAAAAATAAAGTAGATATATGTACTGATACAATGTTAATGCAGTCAAGATTTAATACAAGACATAACTGAAGTGTAATCACCAATGCAAACTTTTACCAGAAGTTTATCTTAGAAGGGTTGACTGTGCCCCCCCCCCCCCTTTTCTACCTACTGTATGAACCATTTGTTCAAAGTGCCAAAAGGAATATTACAAACCTGTCTGTAAAGTCAGCATTGAATTTCTGTTCCAGTGATCTTCGAACTTTCTTCGCTGATAGTGAGGAAAGATCATTTCCCTTCACAATTTCTGTTAAAAAACAAAACAACACATACCTGCAGCACGTTGCACGAAACAATAAAAACGTAAACACATGAAGAAACATAACGGTTCTCATAAATATGGCTTTTTCGAATGAAAAATTAACAAACGTGAGCGGCATATTTTATTCATTATGCATATTAAGTAAAGTATCTCTCGTTAAAACGATGCTTAGTACCTCTTATTGCCTTTAACAACTCGGACTTGCTAATGTTTGCCATTTTTCATGCGGGCCATTTACTTCTAAGGGAATGCACTCTAAAATTAACAATGCTCCAAAACTGAAGTTACCTCCCGCAATAGAAAACCGGATAAAGTTGGAAAAAAATCGACTTGCATTGTTTGGAATTATGTAATTGACGTGTTAAAAACAAATAAACCAGAAAAAATAAAACAAACAAAATATGATAATAAAATAATAATGAAATAAAATGAAAAAAAAAAGAAAAAAAAAAAGAATAAATAAGAAAATAAATAAATAAACAAAACAAAACAATACCAAGTCCAACAATCAAATCAGTAAATTGAACTGAAAATAAACAAAAAAAGTATTCTAATAGGTAGGGTTTGGCAAAAGTTGACAGTGTTTTTTTAAGAAAAATGGCTTTCAACTACCATTGAAATATTAAACAGGAATCCTTGAGTGAAATTAATAAAATAGACAAATACATAAATATAAAAATCCACCTCTCCTATATTGTATTAGTGACCCCAGAACTGTTAGACTGTCCTTTTTCGAGTTTCCAAGAATTGCTTTTATTCAGAAACATTAATAAAAATCACACCATAATGCTTACATGAAATGTTAAGTTTATTCTGTCAAATAAGGTAAAATAACATTTTCGTGGAGTTAAACTTTCGTGGTTTGAGGGGAAAAAAATTGGGCTATCGGGATTTGATTTCGTGGATGAAGAACTGTTGAGTAACTGTGTATATGACATTTTACATACATTGTAATTTCATAGTGGACATGAATTCATGGGTCTCTCCAATACCTCGAAATCAACGAAAATTAAAACCCTCGGAAATTAGTGATGTCATAGTAATGCATATTTTTCATAAAAATTTATATTAAACAGAAAAAAAATCGAAGTGGTCTTTCAGTTTCAATGTGTTAGTCGAACACATTGTTATTTCTGAAAAAAAAGTTATCTCGCTTTACACAAGGCATTATTAAATCAAAGTACTGAAAGTACTGGGAAGCGCTAAGCATATTGCAATTTGAAATTCATCAGAATTACTTTGAATTTAAATTGCCTGTTGTATTGGAATTTAAGCAATATCTTGACAGTGCGGCTGCGCTAGGGCGAGCACAGTTGTTTGATACATAATCAAACATGTGAGTCATGAAAATTTCCCGTTGGGATACGAAATTCAACATTGTCTTATGCCTTTTTATTTTAAGCATTTTACATTTTCTTCTTCTGTCAAAAGGTCAATCAATTTCACATACATGTATATGAAATTGCAAGAAAATATTTCTCCGTTTCTTAAAAAAAAATATATACAAATTAAATGGCAGATATTTACTCCTGTCCAAACAGCAATGTATTTCTCAAACTTAATGAAAATATATAGCAATTTATTGGAGGGGGATGGTCGACGAGTTTTCCGACCAAATTTAGACTATAAATGTAGCTGTATATTTGCTGGAAAACGTATATTTCTAAATAATTTTGAACACTTGAAAATGTCGCTGAAATTCCTCTCATTTATGTGCAACACCGACAGCTAAAATCTTCTGGTGATAATTTTTAATATTAAATTTATTCCGTGTTTACGAATGATAGTGATTGTGCTTTAATTTTAGAAACTGCACTCGGAAAACAAAGATGCTATTTGTTTATTGCGTCGATAAATATTTCCTAATTGATAACATATAAATAAAACATCTCAAAAATATCGAATACTAGTATTCTCACTAAACTCTTTAAGTATATCTCTTTTTTTCATATTCATAAGCGATTCAAAATTTTTGTTTTATAGAAAGGATTTTACAAGAAATACATTAATGGAGTGTGTAAGATATTTACACAATCGCTAAGAGTGTCCAGTATTTATAAATGATAAATAAAACTTAGACTACATGTATATATTACATTTTGTTTTGAATATGCTACCGCTGTGTATTATACATTCATCGCGCTGTGCAGCATATCGGCATGTTTGTAACAACGTCATTTGACAAAACTCTGTGTCAACGAAATGAGCACCCGTAGAGTTAACGTCCTTTTGTCAGAGATAATTGGTAAATATACATTTTGAGTATAAAGATATTAGACTTGTCTTCTTCATTTCATTTCATTTCATTTTATTCACTCACACCGACATCAGTGGTACATGAGGTACAATAAATTAGTCGTCATAATTGTGACAAAAATAATAAATTTAATTATGATACAATAGCATAAATGAGGGGCATATACATATGTACATAGTATAGCAATAAACATACAATGAAAGAAGAAAAGAAGAAAAAAAAAAATGGTATGATAACATTTAAATTATGGAGGACAGACGGTGTCGTTTATTTTAGATATAAATATACAAAGGTTTTTTAAAGTTTTTAAGTTTGTCGTTGACATAATTTCAGAAAACTTAAGTGTATTCGGCGTTTTACAAAATCTGGGATGTAAAAGATTCTTTCTGATGCTGTTCAATGTTTTACATTCTAGGATGAAATGATATTCGTCTGCTATTTGCCCTGTATTACACAATTTACAAACTCTTTCATCCAGTGGAATATTTAACCATCTACCAGTTTCAATTGGGAGGTGGTGGTTTGAAGTTCTAAATTTTATTAGTATTTTTTGGAGTTTACTAGGTAAAATACTTAGATATTTTTCAAATCCAAAATCACTCTTAAAAATTTTGTAAATTTGACCTTTTGATGAATTATTTATATCACTATGCCATTTTTGAATAAATTGGTCGCTTAATCTTTGCTTCACTGCTGCAAGTACCCAATTCCTGTCAATGGGACTTTGTTCATACCAAATGTTGGAGAACCCACAAGAGGTTAAAATTTTATAAATGAAATCTACCCATAGGTTTTTTGGACCTCCTTGAAAATATTGAGAACATAGATATTTATACAAAACACAAACTATTTTGTTTTCTAAAGAATTCGGGGTAAGTAATTTTAACCAGTAGGAGATCATTCTTGTATAAATATTAATATACAATGGGAATCGCCCAGTCTCCCCATACACCATATACGAGGGCGTACTACTCTTTAAATGGAAAATATGTTTTAAAAATTTTAAATGTACACGTTCAATGATGTCGAGATTTTCATAACCCCAAATTTCACAGCCATAAGTCAAAATTGGAACAACAACTTTATCAAAAAGATCTAACTGACATTCAATTGGTAAGTTAAATTGTCTTATCTTCCTTATAACACCATACATTGCTTTCTGTGCTTGTTCACATAAATGTTTTTTGGCCTTACAAAATGAACCTGAGCGTGAAAATATTATCCCAAGATACTTGAATTCTTTTACATTTCCAATTGCATTATTATTATAATAAAATACCTTTTTTGACATTGGTCCTTTAGAAAACACTAGAATTTCTGTCTTACTAACATTAACATTAAGTTTCCATTGTGAACAATACAAATAAAAATCATCCAAAGCCTTTTGCAGATCTACATCTGTTTCAGCCAAGATAACAGTATCGTCTGCATATAACAAAATGAAAAGCTTAAGATACACATATAATTCTTCTTCAATAGCGTCAGTTATGCTTTGTAAACCAATAATATTTCTGTCCGAGAGAAACTCTTCCAGGTCATTAATATGATGATAAAATATTCGGTGCTATCCTTTTATCTCTGATAATCATATACATGATTTATAATGTATTTACAACAAATATTTGTCTTTTCTGTTGTTCTCACAATATGTATATCTGATTTGTAAATATTACTTTTTTAAAATTAAAATTTTATACTTTTTTCTTCGGATTAAAAATATGTCTTTAAACCCCCCAAAGTATTTTGGACTATTGTTGAAATACTTTAAAAAGCCTCAGTATTTTTTTTTACGGACGTTTGATGCTTTACACCACTCTTTACTTGATTATGTATGATTTTAACTACCACACAAAACGTGTTTAGAGGAAAAAAATATCCACAGCACTGTTGTGTTAGTTGAAAAGGAATACTGAAAATAATTGCCAGTAATTTTTCTGCTATTTCCATGATAAATAATTCAACAACCCAAGAAAGAAAATACAGTATATTAATCTCAAGTATTAATAAATCTTCATGAAGGTATGCAACATTGTTTTATTCTGTTTTTATGTAGTCCTTATTAAGTTGCTTAGCAGTCAAAAACGGCAAACACGCGTACATCTTAACATAAACTTTTCTTCCAAGTTTCCTAATACAAGTATTACACTGTTTGCTTAACATTTCATCGGCGCTTTCCTGTCCATTGCTAAGAACGTTTAATTAAGGTTTTTGCATTTTTTCGCAATATCTTGCGCACTGCACACACAATTTTAAAGCACAATATACCGAAAAATTAGTTTTCCTATTTGAGTGATTCGTTGAAAACACAGCCACCACGTGCCCCACATGTACGTACAGTCGCAAACTGCCTTTCCTTGCGAATTATTTACATCATATTTTTTACCCATATTACAAGTATAGAGTACAACACAAGTATAGACAGTCCATGAATGCATTCCAGTCTGTTACTAATTGATACTAGGATGCGAAAATCCATTTTATTGATAGCTCTCTGCATGGTGCAAGGGTGATAATAGGAAGACTTGTTTTTAGTTACATTGCCTGAAATAAGGGTCAAGAAGAAGAAATAATAGTTTATATGGATATAAGTCATATAGAACGTGCATATGTAAGTACATTGTAAATCAATTTTATGCGAAATTTTCTACTAAATAACTCAATTCCAGTTTGAGTTTTAAATACTTATTAAAATCCCATCTGAGTTTTAAAAATATGCACTTATTCAATCACTACATTACATATATATGACATATAATAAACCGTTTTTAATTAACTAGAGTATTTGCGCCATAGATGCAGCAATTGTTAGCTACATTGTACACAAGTGATGAATGCCGACACGATTTTAAATGAACTACAATGTTTAGAGATAAGCATGACAAGAACCGCCCTTATCTACTAACAGTGAATTTTCGTACAATGTACATGCATATCAGACATCTTTACCTTACTAATTGACTCTTATAATTAGAACTGCACGTAACTCAGTATTACACTAAAATAGCCGAAAGAGACTCGGGGATTTCCAGTTGCATATTTTTAGAAAACCCAGTGGAGTTATCTAACTTGGTTAGTGGCGCTGGATCGCGAACGGAAGTAGATTTAAGATGACAGAAAGCGCTTTGCACTGCGCTTAGCGCTTAAAAAAGTAACAAGAAAAAAGGGAATACAATTTTTTTTCTTTGACATAAATTACGCTTTTTATAAAATCCAAGACATTATTTTGCAGAGTAAGTGTGTAAGTGTGGATTCAGGTATGACTGGAGAGAAAAAAAAATCCCCCCCACCAGCCAAAAAGAAAATAAATGTTATTACATTGTATAGGAGAAGCCACCTACATGTAGCCCCCTCTCTCAGAAACTCGAAACCCCAAGCAGCGTTAACATCACTGCATGTAAATATTATCGTGCTCGTGTTTGAGATGTGATGGAGGAGCTCTCTCTCTCTCTCTCTCTCTCTCAGAAAAAGCAAAGGCGTGCACTTTTTGCATCGTGATTTCAGGTTATTGAAGGCTACGTCTGGACCTTTTACGCGCATCAGTCATATTTTTCGAAGAATTTATAAATTTGGAAGTTTTATCCGACTTAAATCCATTTTCTTTAGCAGAACAAATACCTGTATACAAATCATGGTGATCGAGGCATTGCTTACATTAAATTAAATTTCGCGACATTTAAATAAGACATTGTCTTATAATTAACTGACAAGGGCTAGGATTTTCGATAATTTTACCCAATGTCAAAAAGAGATTTAAACTTACAATTTCTATTTTAATAGAAATGTCTATGAAATACTGTACTATATCAAAATATTTCTAAAAAGGGGCTTAACGAAAAGGTGAGTGTATGGAGAGGACTTCGACCCTTTTTCCCTGGTATTTGGTGTCATATACATGTATAGAAACTTAAAACATATTTAATTAAGCATGGGGTATTTAACGAAATTCTGTTCATGTGCATATAAGAATCATTATACACCCACTCAAGCTTTTATGAATAGTGCTTTAAATCATGTGGTACTGTATAATCATGCACTTCTACCTGCCCAAAATAGTGTATTTTCGTCTTGAATTTTGTCTGAGCATTTTCTGCATAATGTAACCTTTGCAGATTAGCTGATTTCCCAAGGATTCAGCCTCATCAATGTCTATGTAAATGTCACATGGTTACTTGATGTAATTAATTATTGAAATTAACATTCTTATGTAATTACGTAAAATGGGTGTTAATATATTGTACCTACATGCGAATGTTATATAAAAGTCAAATATAAAAAAAACATTGATAACTAATGACAGTACATGTATATACTTTCCAGTACACAAAACGCAAAAGAGTTTAACATAATATCTTTCCCGCGAACCAGTCATGAATATGTAGTGTGTGAATAATTGCGTGTATAAATTCTAGACTGTTTGTTTTCTTAAAATGATAGTGAAAATAAATGAAAAAAGGTTTGCTTTTTTTAAAGATGAGAAACGATGAAATAAAAAGCACTGATTATAATGATTTATAAGTGTAATACAAACTTGCAAATTCCGACATATTACTTCAACAATAAAATTGACACATAAGGTGTATCTGTCTATAGGCATTCTACACTCTACAAATTTCACTTTTCCATATGTAATCGCACGTGTATTAAACATATTCTTTTTGATTCCTGACTTTTTGAAAGGCTTGCATACCTTGGAATTTGTGAATTTAAATAACTAGTTTTAGATTTTCTAGGAATTCAAATGGCTCACTGATAGCGTTTGAGCTTGAAAAATTAAAAGCATAAATTTAAATACAATGCACGTTTAATTATAGTTGTTCACAATGTACATATTTTCCAACCTGAAAGATGGAACTGCGTAAAACACAGTTCGTAATATCGATAAATACGTAAAACTCAAGATTTTTTAAAAAATATATAAACGCTTACATGTCTACATTTTTACACGCTGTGCAAAAAAAATGTAATTTGAGTCATAGGTGCCACGTAAAAAAGAAAAGAAAAAAAAATTCTGTTCAATTTGTTAGAAGTAATTTTTTTTTATCTTCCTTGATTAAATCTTTAAATAAGCAATGAATATTCTACATAATTTATTTGAACTTCCATGTAAGATCAAGAATGTTTCGATGATTCATTACGAAATGATTTACCAATTCCATTAACAACTGCAATTACAATACATTAGAATAGATAAAATGATATATGAAAATGCCATAACGAATATTAACAAAAAAACTGGTTTTCTTCCGTCCTTGCTCTAGTTTTTGCTAATGACAGCAATAAATTACTGCTGATCAACTCTTATTTAACTTCGTAACAAAATGCATGCATGATCAATGTTTAAGAGTATATTAACTCAATTTTCAAAGGTCACACTATACCAAAATAACCAAAACAGTACATACTTGAAGATGTACGACGTCGAAATTAAATATATGCATTATCAATGGAGTATATTAACTCAATTTCTAAAGGGCACAATTTACCAAATTAAGTAAGTTTATAAAATTGATGAAAGGCATACATGTACGTATTAATTAAAGGGTATTTTTGTAATTTCTTTATTGTTCCATTTATATAATTATATATATACAATTTGACATAAACAGTAATGATAAACTTCATTATTTAGTTACTTAACAGGAATTAAGAGGGTATACATGTACATGTATCTGAATTTTTTCTCTCAAGTTAATCATTTAATTGTTCTTTCGTGATGGGAAATTAAGATGGGTGGGGATAAACTTGACCTAGACTGCATTTTGTTTTATTAATACAAATCAATTTTTTCGTCTGCCATATTGAAAGTTTGATGGTTGTATTTACAATATCACAACTTTATTGTGGCACATACCCATCAAGTAATAACAAAAATTATTATATGAACACAAAATTTTACATAAGGTATATTTAAATTGCATTAATGATCCCAGATAGCAAATAATGTGATAGATATATTATTATATTTTTAAAAAAATTCCCTAAAAAGTTAAAAAGGGATTCGGTCTTTTATTCAAGAAAAATACAATATTTGTTTCCCCCTGTGAATATATAGCATTAAGAACGAGACCTCTCATTAATTTAAAAAGTTAGAAATATTTTTAAAAAATTACAACAATTTACTGTATGACATTGATGACGCCACAATAAAATGACGTCATAGTAGTCATATCCTTCATTCAGAGACGTCATAATAAAGTGTCGCTATCACGTGACTCATCGTTAAGGAAAATCTCGCCTTACAAGACGGTAGATTTGCTACTTTATACTGAGTTTTTTTAAAGCATCCGCAAATTGTTTCAAGGTATGTGTTTCTTTATATGCATTTTTTTTTCGAAATACAACACAAGCTTTTATAACATATGTGGATATTGATTAGAGAAAGATATCACGATGTTAGTCTATCAGCATAATTTGAGAAGTTGAGCGGAGGCATATTCTTGACCAATTTCTTCCGATAGAGATAAAATTGAGAGATAAATAAATCCCAAAATGTCGATCGGCACCATAATTTCTTCTCTTTATTGTCCCTGATGTTCGATTATTATTTAATAATTTTTCTAGAATATCATATACATGTATACTTTGATTAACAAACAATATGACTTAAAATAAGTCCTAGAGATACATTAGTTCATGTCTTTCTTATTCTGTTCCAGATGGGAAGAAAAGAAAAGAAGAATAGAGAGTTGTTATTTATACATGACAAGATGTATAGTATTATTCCAGACATACCGACAGCAAAAGGATTTCAAGAGAAGGAAAAGATCCCCAGTATTCAAAGGCAAAAACCACTTCCGCTTAAGGCCTCAGGCAAAAGTTATGAAGTTTTGCCTCAGGCAGGAGATATTTTACCAACTTCTCTTTGCTCCGATACCGCTAGACCTTACCCAGGCATCGACACTAACATCATGTCTGAACCTAAAACCAAGAAGTTGAAGGCTCCCCTTGCTTGTCTCGATACGGAGAGAATAAGGGAAAAAATTGACAAAGCCGAAAAGAAGAGCAAAAAAGCGAAAAAGAAAACGGCTAAGCCTCCTCCAAAGGAATTCTATCTACAAATAAATGATTCCAATAAACAACACGAAAACACATTGTATCAGATGCACGTTCCTCAGCCTCCATCCAGTCCAATAGATCCGACAAAACCAAGAAGAATTGTCAAAATTCGGCAGTCGACCTCGTGCCGTGTTCTAGACATTGGACAGTACAAGGGTTTTATGAACTCAGTTAAATTACAGCAAAATGTACACTACAGTAAAGAATATATGCATCCTGACCAATGCGTCACGTATTTGAATCATGAGCAATATATGGAGCATGCAAACCCAGCTGAATATGCTGTATACAAGGATCCCAATCCAGTCATCGGATTTATGAACCCAGGCAAGTACAATGGATGTCCGTCTCCAACTGATTACGCGGAGTTCATGGATTCCAATCTAGTAATGGAACAAATAAATGCATTTCCTTACTGTGGATGCTCGCCTCCAACTGAATTCGCTGGATACAGAAACCCCAAACAATCCATCGGATACTTGAATCCAAATTAAACGAATGCATTGTGACAGTTGATCCACAAATCGGGTTCACTGCCCCGGAGGGATTTTACGGATACGTGAACCAGGGCCAACATAGCATTACAACAACCCCTGCTACAACGTTCCAAAGAAAACATACCGTAAAAAGGCATTCAAGGAAACACCTGCACGTCAAAACAACACCATCGCAATAGACAGCAATATAAACATTTGAATCTCTGAAGCAAAAGTACTTCGAAATTTTTGCGTCAGCTCAGACGATAAGAAAACTGCTTTCGATGAATCCGTTTTTATGGGGATATGAAATTGATTCTGAGCGAGGCATAGTTGATTTATTTTCTTCGATATGATATATTCAAAACAGATTTGCAAATGAATTCGAAACTCACCAAAAGTCAAGTGTATAATGTACTGCTTTATTGGTCTCACAGTCGCGCTACAATATACTCCATTAGAGCTATCTGGATTTCTAAAGAAGACTGTCTTCTACTTCTTAGTTAAATATTTTTAATTTTGCAACACAATTGTATTATTTTCCTTTCTTTCTTCTAATCCCCTCAAGATGATTTTGATGATAACATTATTGATAGTAACACTTTTTTGATAGATGACTGATAAGAGAGAGAGAGAGAGAGAGAGAGAGAGAATATTCATACAATTATTCATCAGAAAAAATAATCTTGACGTCCAAAATGAACATTTTTGGTGAAAACTAAAAAGTACATAAAATTTTGAAAAGACATACACTTAATTCAAGTCAATGAATGCATAATTATGCTGTCCTAGTAAATCTAATTCTGAAAAAAAATATCATGGTGGGCGATCTGGAATCCTTTTTTAATTAATATAATTTGAAGGTCCTTTAATATATGTATTGAATTATATAATGAAGTGAATCCAAGTTTATCACGCCAATATTCTAGATAAGAAAAAATGATGTATTGTTTCTTTTCCGAAATGCTACACTCCGTACTTGGTTGACATTATATGACCGATTTCGTTTGACTGAATTAAAAGAATTTAAACAATTGTAACAAGTGAAAACGAAATATACTCAACTGACTAGTATTTTCTTTCCTTCCTCAAAATTGAATAAAATAATGCGAACGCTATCAATTTTTGAATGAGTGAAATGAACGTTTGTTGATTCTTGAACCGTAATATTGAAAAAAAAAAATCACCAGAAAATCATTGCAGACAAACAAATGCAAGCAGAAACAATTACTAAACCAAAACAAAATAAAATTCATTATACATGCATTATTTAAATTATAACCAATGTGTAATATGTACATTTATTTTTTAAATGAACAAAGCAGAGTTGTCTTATAAAAACCTTTGTATCCATTATCCGCTTTTTGTTGTTGTTGTTTGGCTAAATAAAAAAAATGCACTCTGCATACGACAAAATGTGTTTCAAGAAAAAAAAATGCACGAGAATACGCTAGGAATAAGGATGATAAAATTTATTTGGCATAAATAGATTGTTCATCAGTCAGAAAGCACAGCAAAATCCCCCTATGTATTTCATGTTTGACTAAATGGTCTTATTCTGATCACCATTAAAAAATGTCAAGTCACCGTATTAAATTTAAAAAATAAATGAAATTATGAAGATTTATAAATGGAAGACACTTTCCTAATCCAGCTCAAATAATGTATGATGACCTTTTCTTTGTACATAATTTGCACTGCAAATATCGAGTTAAATACTTATATGTCTAAAATTGTGATGAACTGGTAAAGCAAAAAACATAAATATGTAAATACATGTACACGTAAATGAGAATGTCCCTGAATATCCAATAAACACAAAATAGTTTTCGTCTTTCATTAAGATTACAGGATGTTAAAAAATATATCGTTTTAAAATACAGTGAAGAACAGCATTAGTTTTGAGAAATACCACCAACACCACAAAAAATAAATAGATAAACTAAAATAAAATAAAATAAAATTAAAACTAAAATTAAAAAGAGAATGTAAGAAGAAGTAGGCCACATGATTGGAACTGTCGAAATGATTTAGAAATTTTCCAAGCTTCATTTACATAGGTACACATGTATTTTATTTAAATACTTCATAGTCTGAATTTTATTGCACACTCTCTTATAACAGAAACTGCATAAAGGAAGACCAGAATTACATGTAATGTTTGTGCTGAAAAATTATTTTAAAATGCAGCTAAAGGGAAAGAGACCACAAATTTTCATATACTTGGTACAGGCCTAGACTTATTGCTACACATAAATACTTATTGCAGACATGCAATCAGAACTTTTATTTTTTACATAAAAGAGCCACTTGTTTTTCTATTCTGTAACTCACATGCACACGACACATTGTGGACTGGGAATGACGTCTAAGCCATTCTACAATTTTAATTAACTTAAAAATATAAAATGAGCTAAACTAGTTGTGGAAAAAATGTCAAATATTAGTTTCAAATAAGATCAAGGAAATAATCTAGCTGTTTGAGAAAAGGATCCGGAATTTGGCTTTTTACCCTTTTTTGGATAAGGTGAAATACTGATTTTGGTTTTAATATATCAAAAACAGTACCTTTTTAAATTCAGTTCGACTCAAATTGCAAACTAAATGCTTACTTGATCCCATTATTCTAATAACCCATTGTAAATATGTATTTAATTTACAATTTGAATTACGTTGCTTGCAGTTAAAATATGCAAATCTGCGAACATGTAGCACACTATTGAGACACTTGTGAATAAAATGTTGAAGATTTATTTTATCAATTTTATATGAGGAAAGCGCGAACCTCTCCTGACGCCCGTGAATGATGGTTTCCTAATACTAAATATGCGTGACCACATCATCAAAACACTAAATGAAGTGATTTACAAGTTGAATTAAGTTACGCTCATATAATATCTGACATGCTGAAAACTTGAATAAAGTGCTAGATATCTGATCGACTGAAAAAAAAAACCGATGATTATATTTTGATGACCAACAAGTTATTAATTATTTTTGTTCAAATCTTGAGAAAAAGTGATTAGAATGTTTGATTTAACCACATAAAAAAAAACCGAATTCATTTTCTTGTGTTTCTAATGCAACCAGAGGACATTCCTGCAAATTGAAAAATAGTAAAGAGTGGCACATGCATAATTTAATTGTCGAATGGATATGTTGCAAACTATTTGTCATGTAACATATGAAAGTGTTGTAGTTTCGAAAGACAAACTTAGGTAATCAAAGATTACGAAGCTCTGACACCTCGACGAATGTTATCTATAAGTAAGGCAAATCTCACATCATATTTTTTCTAGATAGTGTGCATCCCTAAATCAATATCCATGCAAGTTTGGTTTAAGTAGGACTTAAAGTTACTTGGAAATTAACCTGCTCCAGAAACTCTAACCTGTTCGCTAATCAAGAAAATGTCGGTCAGTTCTAACATACACCTCAAGTCTGGAAGTGTCCATCCTTTGATGCATCATCCATGCAAGGTTACATAACAGCTATATAATTATAAAGCTACTCTTTGAAAATTACCCTGGTCACTCATCTCGAAAAATATAGGCCAGATTTAGCATCCAAAGCTGGTATGGACGTGTCCATCCCTAGATACTTAATTCATGCTAATTAGGTTAAAGTATAACAAAAATTCACTCATCTGGAAAATAAAGGTCAGACCCATCATCTGAAGCAGATTGGATAGTGTACATCCCTAGATGCATCATCCATGCAAGCTTGGTCCAGGTAGGGTTTATAGTTACTTGGGAATGGACCTGCTCCCAAAAATTTAACCTTGTCACTCATTTTGAAAATGTAGGTATGATCCAGCATCCGAAGCAAGTATAGTTGTGTTCATCCCTAGTTGCATCATCCATGTAAGTTTGGTCCAATTATGGCTTATAGTTACTTGGGAATGGACCTACTCCAAAAACCTGATACAGCATCCGAAGCAAGTGTAGTAGTGACCATCCCTAGATGCATAAGGATTTCTTTATTGTAAATATTTCATGTTTGTAATATCCTCTCTATACTGTTGTTACAAATAATGAGAATAAACTATTGTCCACTGTCTTTGATAGCAGGGCTTATTGTTATTTGGAAATGGACTTGATCCTAAAGTCTAACCGGGACGCCGACACAACGCCGACGCCTGGGGTATAGCGTAAGCTCATCTCGACTTCGTCGAGGTGAGCGTAAAATTAAGTTAATTGCATTGGCATCAAATTTGCATATATTCTTTTCTAAATGAGAAAAATTTCATGAGAAGTGGATAATAAGTTTAGATCGGCCAACATCAAACTGCGAATTGTAATGGAAATTGACGAGAAAGAAAATTTTCTAGATTTTGATAGTAATTGATACAGTAAAAATGTGAAAAATTGGAACAAGCACATAATTAATTGTTGAACTACACTGCATGTTTTTTTGTTATATACTCTGCATTGGGAAGAGTAGATTAATAAACATATTAGATTAATATAGTATCTTTCAGCATTGACTATTGCTGTCCATTGCAGTTCAATATGATTTACAAAGGCAGTTCAACAAAGAATTTTTTATATTTTTCTCCATTTTTTATTTTACTATCTGTTTATTCTATATGAGGTAGATTGATTTATTGATTGATTTTATGATGTTTTACGTCCAGTTCAAGAAATTTTCACTCATATAGAGACGTCACCATATACCGGTGAAGAGCTTCAAAGTTAGCACTCAGGGCCATTGAGCAGTTAGGGTTCTTTATTTGCCAACGCAAATTGTGACACGGAGACTCAGTGTTTAAGATTTCACCCGAAGGACCCGCAACTTTCACTTTAAAGTGCCGAGCGCTTCGCAAAGGAACATTGCTACCTATTTTTAATCGACTTAAGTCAGTCGTGGACGTGATTCGAACACAAGACCTTCCGATCACGGAGCGAGTGCTCTAAAGACTGTGTTACCGTGACGGTCTATATGAGGTAGACGTGGATTTCTGTTTTATATATCCTTTAGCACCCATATAATTTTATGATGTCAAATATGACATCATA